AAAGTATTTTGAAAACTTGGAGATAATATTATTATTGACGATAAGACAAATAATACATGACAGACTGCCTAAATAGTATGTCTAAAATGAATTTATAAACTAGAAAATGGAATTGAAGAAATACTGCTGTGGTAAATATGGCAAGACAAAAGAGGAAAGAAGATGTTAAAAGACAAAGAAAACAAATTAAATGAGATGCAAAAACATACATCAAAGACAATTCTAATTTGGGTGTGGTGGTGCACACTTTTAATCCCAATACTTGGTAGATTGAAGATGGAATCTCAGGAGTTTGAAGCCAGCTTGGCCTATAAGACCCTATCTTAAAAAAAACAAAAACAGAAGACACTTTCAAAAATGAGAAATAAGATGAAGGTGGCGGCGGGGGGGAGATAATTTTTATTAAAAAGAATGACTGAGAAGTAGATTTCTAAGTCCTCTGGTTGCAAAAAGCATGCCAAGCAGGCCAGACAAGCATGAAATACATATATATATACATCTCAGTGTCATCGCCAATACAAGAAAATCTTAAAATCTAGGAGGCAGAAAAAAATAACCTAAAAGAACAATAATCAAACAGAAGAATTATTATCCACAAACAGCAGAAGTCAGTAAGCCGTTGTAGGAATATTTTAAAGTGTTGAGGCAAAATGAGCATGTACCTATCATTTTATACCCAGCCAAATTATCATTCAAGAATGATGGCAACAGCAGACATTTCATATAAGGATTAGAGATCTTTGACACTAATACTCAAAGAAAGAGCTTGCATTCTTAATAAGAAAAGAAGCGAACTGCAATATCAAGGAAAGGAAACCTAAACCTTGCTCTTCAAGTCTTAAAGAAAATGATCCTTATTTCTTTCAGTTTTTTCTCTGGGGTTTATGATCTTAGGTTTCTTAACACTTTCTTTTTTTCTCTTAGAATAACTTCTAGTTTATGCTTTCCTGTTACCTTTTTTGTCAATAATTTTCTACCAGTGACCCATGGTTTAAGAAGCTGTGGTTGAGATAAGTTCCTATGTCATGAGGTCAATTTTTGAGACTTCTTGGAAAGATTTTATAAAGCAATTTGAAAGGCTATATGATAAATTAAAGAAAAAACTATGTAGAGTAACAATTTAATCAGCAATACTGCTTCCATTTACCAGTCTTTTGCATACCATACCAGTTTAAGTAGAAGCAAATGAACACACAAAAACATTCTCATCTGGAAATTTATTCTGAAAAACGACTTTCAGGTTGGTCATATGAGGAATCAATCACTGATATCTTGAAGCATATATACTATCATCACTAATACTCATAGAAAAATAAACCTGTGTATGAACTTTTGCCATCTGAGTTCACTGAAGTGCACTGAGTGTTCATTGACAAACAAAAGTATATTTTATAAAGAAATACCAATAATGCTATGGATCTTCTCCAAAGGAATTTACATCTGTCCATAGTTACACCAAAACCTGAAATTAATTTCAAAGGATTCTCTGACTCCTTAAAGTCTAATTAGGAACCTCTACATCAAGAATTCTGTCCTATGGTGTAATAAAATCAACCTACAAGATGACAAGGCTTCTAGTTTGCAGATCCCAAGGCTGTCAGCTTTTCCTAGCAATGCCTCTGGGATGACAGGCATTCTCTGAATCTCTCCACATGTCCAGGCCTTTGGTATCAGAACCAGGCCTGAGTCATATCAGAACAAAGTCACTGAAAGTGCCTGCCTCACAAAAATACTCTAACCACAAACTGTGAAACTCAGTTTCCTAACAGCCTCATGAAAAATTCTTTAGCTGGCTCTCGTCAGACTTGCTGCTAACACTGTGTACCTAATAACTGTGCACTCTGGAGGAGGTGACTGTTCAGCAGGCAGGCTGCTTTATACTGACATAAACCTCACTGGTTTAGTTCCTTTGATTTATGAACAGCTCCTCATCACTGTGAAGCTATGCTTGGATGCAATTCCAGCACTAATTGCATAGGACACATGCCACAATGCTACAGCTCCCCCTTGGTACCCACTGCCCCTGGCAAGAAGAGGCTGTTTATAGCAACAATTCCCTTCCCCGGCTCAACGTTCCCTTTCAAATGATTAAAAGCACTATGAAAATCTGTCACTGGGTACCCAATAACTTATTAGAGCCCAGAATGTGTCTCGTTTGGGCTATAAAGTGTATTTAGGGAGCCAGTTTAAGTTGTCTAAAAGTATTCTATTGTTATGTCTGCCTGAAAGTTTCCCTTTTGGGGAATTTAGGCAGATGGCTTGGATCAGGTGAAAATGGAAGGTCACAGCAGGGGAGAAACAGAGGCAAACTAGATTACCTGGGCAACGGGGGCAGCAGAGATGAGGGATATGCACGGGTGAGAGGCAATGAAGACTTGGACATCTGACTCGGCTGCAAAGCACATTCCCATTCTGAAAGAGAAAAGGCAAAAAATGAAATGTCTTTCAAAGGTCACTGGGATTATGCCAGTTTGGGAAACAGCCATGAAGAGAGAGACTCACCCAGACAGCGAATAACGAATTTCCAAGAATCTGAATGCAGTCAGCCCTCTTCTGCTTTTTCTTTTATTTTCTTCTTTTTCTTACTACTAACACTTCTGCTTGATTGGCTGAAAATTTATCAGCATATTTTTTTTTCTAAGTCTGGGTTCACCACTGATCAGTTTTCAAAGGCTCCCATTTATTGTGAGAATCTTCCTCTGGCCTGGCTCTGTGATATTTCTACCCTTCCCGAGTTCTAGCTTTTCCAAAAGTCCATTTTCATTTCATAATCACCTGCCTGATGCCTTGGGAGAAAAGGAATGATGAGTTATGGGTCCCTTGAGCTACTTCCCACCCCTGTGTAGAGTCATCCCTAGCATGTGAATCCTGTACTCTACAGAAGTCTGTTTTGGTTCAGTAGGCTGAGTGACTCCTCTCCTCATTTCCCTTTGAAGCCAACCTTTTTTTTTTTCCTTGAGAGAAGCTAGAGCTGGGAATTGAGCTGATCAGCTAGTACAACTGGGTGGAGCAACAGGGTCCCTGTCTGACTTACAATTTCATGATCCCCAGCTCTGACAGCTCCCAGCCACTGCTAAACAAAGGAAGCTTTGGAAATACATTTTACATTTACATTCCCCATCCATAATTCATCTGAAGGAAGGGTGACTTGTGTCTTTCGGGCTGTTATAAAGAGTGGTGAAGTGCATGGAGAAAGAAGATGCCTAGTGTGTGAGCTGTTGGCATCGGGATTGTATTAACATTTTCACTGCCTTGCAGACTTCAAAGCCTTGGTCCCCAAGGGCTAGCTGTCCATTTCCAATGACTTGGTCAAGAATCTGACAAAATAATGCCATACCAGGCAGTTAATCAGTCTCCAGATGCTGTATTTAATACATTCTCTAGCCATTTAAAGAGGCAGGACTCTTTTATCCAATCTGAAACTACCTTAGTACAACTAATTTCCTTTCCTATGAGCTTCCTATAATAAATTTTTGGAATGTTGCATTTTGGAATGATGCATACTCACAATGCTCCTCAGAATTAGGTAACATCATCTGAAGATGAGCTTACAGAAACACATTACAAAGCACAGTTCCTGGCTGGGATAAAAACACAGTCCTTAACATTATATGCTAAATTCTTTTCTAGCCTCAGGAGATTAAGAACACTGATAACAAATAAGATAATGATGACAATAATAGTTAACATTTCTTGAACAAGCATTGCTTTAAATGAATTAGTGAATTTAAGTCTTACTAAAATCCTATGAATAAAGTAATATCAATTTTTTTTGAGATGGGGGTCTTACCTATGTAGCCTTAGCTAGCTTGGAACTCACTTCTGTCGATCAGGCTGGCCTCAAACCCACAGAAATCTGCCTGACTCTAACACCTGAGGACTGTGATAAAAGATATGTGCCACCATGCCTGACTACATTATGTCTTTTTTTGAGACAGGTTCTCACCATGTAGCCCAGGCTGAACTGTAACTCAAAATCCTCCTAACTCATTCTCCTGAGTGCTGATATCATAAGTATGTTCTACAATGACAGGCATCATTATTTTAAAGAGGAACCTGAAGGAATCTCAGAGAGATTACAGGTAAATTGCCCAATATAACATGTACCATAGGTGGCAGACTCAGGGTCAGAAACTTGGTCAATCTCAACACTAAAAGCCTTTAGACCCTTAGTACTTCTTAATACTATAATACCTGAAAATTGTTTTACACATGCTAACATTTCTGAAAGCCAGTTCTTTTCAAATAGCAAAAAATGAACATACTTGCAAGTGACTGTTCCTTCTACGTTATAGAAGGAACAGTCTCAATTCTTAAGACCTAGGACAAGGCTTCCCTTCCCAATTACCTTAATGCTCTGGTTTTCCATCAAATCATCTTGAAAAAGTTGTAGACATTTTTGTTGCTTTTTTCACAACTAGGATAGGTGTTACTGTCATCTAGTGGGTAAATTAATTTTCCTACTATCAAGTCCATCTGCCTTCTCCTACTATGTCTTATGCAGTTACCCTACAATACCATAGGAATTTATTCATAGTAAATACTCAGAGATTTTATATTAAGTAAGCCAAAATGCAACATAGAAAAAAGAAAGAATTTTCTTTGCCTTCCCTCTCCCCCTCTCTATTTTTCTCTCTCTTTTTCTGTCTGAGGCTATGCTCATATTTGCTATTTAGTCAAAGGTGATCTTGAACTCCTGATTTTTCTGCCTCCACCTCCTCAGTGTTGAGATTACAGGCACACACCATGACAGGTGGGTGCTTCTTAATTTCTTTTATGTTTATATCATCTATGCTCCATGACACATGAGCACTGAAAGCCTCTCTGTATGGTGAGGAATAAAGAGGAAAATCTCCTGTCGTGAGGGATTGTACCTCTGAGCAGATGCAGTTGACACAATAAACTAGCCCGTAAGGTTCCAGGTAGGGGTGCCATTTCTCACCAACTCTATATTTCTTGTCTTGAAACACACAATACGTCTCTGAATCTGTAAGAAAAGGAAAGAAGAATACATGCATTAAAAAATATATGCCAAGTTACAGAATCAAAAGACAATGATGAGTTCTATCCATTTTATTATATACTTCTAGAGAAGAGTCACAGTGAGCATTTATAGAGCACTTACCACACTGGATCACTGCTTCTCTCACAATGACTCATAAGGTAGATACTACTATTAGTTTTAGTTTATGAGTAAAATAAATCAAGAGATACATAATCAGTACTAGCTTCTCAGCCACCACTAAGCAGCTCTGAAAATATTCTGATGCATCTGCAATTCAGATATTAGCATGTGTTTCCAAAGAAAGGAAGCACGACCTTTTCATATATCAAAAAGCCAATGGTATGCTTTCTTATCTTGCTGTTACAACAGAGCAATGGTTAAGATTTTGAGCTCCATGGTCAGATCAACATGGATTTCAGTCTCATCTCAGCTGCTTATTGATTATATGTCTCTTGACTCCCTTTACTTATAACTGTAGTAATATACCTCCCTGTGCTGGATTTGAAAAATAGTCACAATTTGTGTTTTACCACAGCATACTTGAGCAAATGACATGTTACCTGTCTTATTTTATATGTCGTATTTTTCTACCTCCAGCTTCAAACTGTAGGGAAAATTAATTCTTTACACTCTACCCATCACATGATTCAGTATACTCTGGCCAAGAAATGTAAGTAATTTACAGTTGATCAGTAAATTAAATGTCCAAAGTCAAGTGGTTTACTTTCCAAACTTATCCTCTTCTATTTCCTGTTTCCCAGCTTATAAACTAAACACAAAACAATTTTATTGTTGCAGCAAGCACATTGATTTTTGTCTACTAGTAAACATTTCTCTGATTATTGAAATCGAAAGAAAGGATAGTTTTCCAAGGGACTGGAAGAAGATATTTCCAAAAAATAAAAAAGTATTAGAATTGGAACATTTTCAGTGATATAAAATGAACTAACATTTTAACATTTAAATTAGTAAGTCAAGGGCCAACAAGTGAAATAGAAAAATAACCGAAGAACATGAATACATAGGAACAGTCAAAAGATATTCAACCACTCATAACCAAATTGCAACTCTACTAAAATACATGCTTCATGTCACTTATTGCGTCTATAAATTATTCTCACTACCCACAAGATATATTCCAATTTATTTTTCAAATCTTTATCTCCAGTTTCTTCAAAACCATAAACTTGGAGACAGAAAAAGTGGGTTTGAGTCCAAATTAACCATAGCTGTGTGACACAGAGTAAGCATATAAACTGTTCATTTCAGTTTTCAACATCTCTCCTTTTTTTTGTGAACTCACTATGTAGATCAGGCTGGCCTTGAACTCACAGAGATCCATCTGCCTCTGCTTTCGAGTGCTGGGATTAAAGGCCTGTGCCACCATGCCTGGCAAAAAACACTGAGGTTCAGGTGCTGGTAATTGAAACTGGGTCCCCTGCATGAGCAGCCAGTGTTCTTAACCACTAAGCTACCTATCCTGCCTCAAATCCCTTAATTTTTTTTGTATATTTTATTGAGTTTTTGTGCATTTCATATAATAGATGTTAATCAAATTTAGATCCCCTCTCCATGTTCACCTCCCTCATAGCCTGCCCTATTGGTTTCCGTGCATTCCATCATTTAGGTTAAGATCTATTGAGTCCAGCCTTTGTACCCAGATGTTCCTCAGTGCAAGCTTGTCTGGGGTAAGTCAGCCTACGTAGAGATTCTCCCTTAAAGAAAATCAACTCTCCCTCACTGGCAGTAATCAGCTACTAAAAGTTCTTTGGCTAAGGTTGGAGCTTGCTGCTCATTTCCCCAGTTCTATGCTGTGTTTCTCTATGACTGAGTCAGCATGGATCTTGTGCATGCTGTCAACATTTGCTGCAAGTTCATATGAGCAAGGTTCCAGAGGTCCAGAGAACTCTGTTTCCTTATGTTCCTGCACCAGCCCTGGCTCTTAAAATTTTCTGCAATGGTCCCTGAACTATGAGTGGCTAAGGTATAATATAGGAGTCCTATCCAGGGACACACACGCTGAAGTCTCTTATTCTCTAAAACGTGGACAGTTGTGGGCTTTCTGTGCACATCACACTCTGTTGTATGAGGAAACTTTGCTGGTGACAGTTGATGGATATATTAGCACTCTCTCTATCCCTTGCTCCTCTATGTTCCAGGAGCCTTGTGTATAGAGGTTTCATTGTAGATGTGTTACTTAGAGATGGATATCTCTCAGACATATATTCTCTGTGTGCGGCCAGTTGTGGAATTTGGTAATAACCTCCTTCTGTTGCAAAACGTTGGAGGACTGCTTGGACTTTTTTAAAAAATTATAAACATTTAAATGTAGTATTAATTGATATTAGTTTAGTTTAGAAAGGTAGTCAGGCCTAGTGAGGCAGGTCTGTAATTACAGTCACTTGGGAAGCAGAAGCAGGAAGACCACAAATTCAAGGTCTGACTGGGTTACAGGGTTAGTGCAAGACTAGCCTGGGAAAGTGGTGAGACATTTCTCTCCACATAAAAAGTAAAAAAATCTACAGTATCTCCAGTTACAGATGTTAGAGAGAACTCTAAGGCTGTCTCATCTCCAGATAAATTTAATTTTGAACTATATGCTAAATATGGATGCTTATATTTACAGACAAGTATGACAGTCATCACTCATCAAAGAAGCTTCTTTTGCACCAGACAGAGACTAATACAGAGTTCCACAACTGGTCACATATAAAGAATAGTTGTCTGTGAGATCCCTAACCCTAAGTGACACATGTACAATGGAACCTCTACACCTAAGGTTCATGGGACATAACCTTAACATATATGACAGAATGCATGAAAGAGAGTGGGGCAGGATTTAGGGAAGATCTGGATGGGGGAGGGAATATAAAGATGATTAAGATGTTTTTTATGACATGCACAAAAACTCAATAAAATGCTCATACATTTAAATGAAAACAAACATAAAAAAGTTAAAAGAAAGTTGTGATATGGCTCAGTGGTAGAGCACTTGTCTATCATGCACAAGGTCCCAGATTTAATCCCCCATATCATATAGTAAAAAAAAGGATTATGCTGCCCAAAAATAATCAAAAGGAAATTAGAAACCATTTTGTATTAAATGAAAATGAAAATAGCATATTAAATTGATAGGAATAATGTAATGGAATACTTATACGGAAATTTACATTACAAGTGGAGAAAAGGCTTCAAATAAACACCTTTAGGAAATAGAAAAAGTAGAACAATGTAAAATGGAAGAAAGGAAAAGAAAGAGGAAAAAGGAGCAAAAAATCAATGATAAGGAAAACAATATCAGCAAGATTGAATATTGGTTTTAGGGAAATATCAATGATATAGACAATCCCTTAGGATACTAAAGGTAACAAATTACCAAAAGTTATTGAAGAACAGCTACATAACCTGAATACTTCTATATCATTTAAAGAATTTGAGATTGTAGATTTAAAAACAACTGTCTTATGAAGAACGTTTCAGGCCAGCTAGTTTCATTAATGAATTTTTTCGAACATTCTCCCAAACTTGTCCAAGAAGTTCTGCTTCTTTGCTGAATCTTTGGCATAAGAGTCATAGTGATAGTGAAGTCAGGTAAAAATGGCATATGAAAGATTCTCATCAAAATTTTATCAAGTTAAATCTATGAAGATATCAAAAGGATAATAATATGTGAGCAAGTGGGAGTTATGTTGCAAATGAAAGGCTAGTTCCTCATTTACAATCCAAAGAATGCAATTCACTATAATTTATAAAGCAAAGAAAAAATCATCAGCTCAACAGATATAGAACAAGTACCTGACAAAATCCTACATTCAGTCATGACTGAAACATTTAGGAAGCTTGGCATGGTGGCACACACCTTTAGGCCCAGCACTCAAGAGGCAGCGGCAGGCAGATCTCTGTGAGATCCAGGCCAGCCTGATGTACGCAGAGAGTGCCAGTTCAGCTGGGGTTACAGAGAGAGCCTATCTCAAAAAGACTATAAGTAAAAAGAAACACTTAGCTGGAAAGAAAACTGCCTCAACCTCATAAACCACATCCTTACAAAACCTATGGCTTATATTACACTTCATGTCAAACACTGAATTATGTTTCTCTAAGATTGAGAATTATGAGACATTGTCTTCTTTACAAAGAATGATCATGTCAGCCAAGGAAATCGTGTCAAAAATGTTCTATATGCTACAGAGTAAAAATTATAATTTCATATTTACAGATTTTGTTATTTCTGTTCAAAGAAAAAAACACCAATCTATTTAAAAATTATTACGAATGGTAAGAAATTTTAACAAGATTGTAGGATACAAGCCGAATATATAAAACTGATCACATTTGCATCTTCAATACCGAATAGCATAGGCTAAAGAGTGCCACCCTGTCTCAAAGGATAAAGATGCATGTGCTAAAATTTCTACAGTTTATCATTTACATTAGCTCCTTCAAAACAGGAAAATCCTGAAGCACATATGTAACCAAATATAGGCAAGGTTTGTACTCAGAAAACTACAATTCACTGCTGAAAAAAAAAGCAACAAAGGCCTAAAAATTAGACAGAGATCTTTGTTATTTGTGGATTGGAAGATAAAATAGTCTTACGATGTCAATTCTCCCCCAAATCACACAGTCTAAAACTAAGTATTAGCAGGATATTTTGTAAAAGGTTAGTAATCTAATAAAATATTTATATGAAAAGTTAAAGGAAGAAGAGCCAAAACAATTTTGAAAAAGCAAGACATTGGAGGTAATACATAATTACAGTTTTCAAGACATGTATTTGCAAAATGTTAGATAAATACATTAACAGAATATCTAAAAGTAGACACAGACATTTTGTCAACTGATTCAACAAAGGTGTAAAGTCAATTCAATGAAGAATAGTTTTTTCAATAAATACTGTAGAAATATTTGGATAGTCATTTTCATAAAGTTAACCTTACCCGATTTTTAGTACCACATACAAAAATGAATTGAAAAAGTGGCTC